ATACAGTATATCCAAGAAGAGCTTCTTGGAATCCAAGAAGTGCTTCTCAGAAGTGCTTCTTTGACCTTCAAAGCAGTGCTTCTTGCTTTTTTGCATGCAAAAAGCTGGAAGCTAGTATTCAAAGCTGCTAGAGCATCAAGAACCTTCAAAGAAGCTAGGTTTTTGTTCTGCTAGGCAAGAACCCTTGTTTCCCAAACCTAACTTCCAACATGTTCAGAAGCCACAAAACTCAGCTACCACTTTCTAAGGCTTACAGGATCTTCAGGGAGGAGTTCCACTACCTTTGACGCAGAACGCACTACAGAACTACTTGTAGAAATCCCTGTTTAGATGTCAGTTTGTACATAGCTTTCTGGACAGACTCGAAGAATAGGTTGAGTGTGAATTTTCCCTGTTGGACGGACGTTGTGCAGCCGAGATCTGTCCACGGTACATTCTGCTGCCATGTGGGTTCGCAGGGCCCTCGAGCTGACCGCGCTGGCGCGCGCGTAGATAAGCGCGTCGGACCGCGAAAACGGAGGAAAAACGGACGTGGCAAAAAAAAAAAGATTTTAGAGGAAAACTTTTCTTCCAGAGAAAATCTCCCATTTTTTGCGTATTCAACATGTTAAGGTCTAAAAGACTTGCGCTTGCACCTGGAAGTGGAGGCGGGGAACTCACACAAACTTGGGACGTTTTCAGCAAGTGATGGCACTGCCATGTGATAGAATGTTTTTGCTCATCAGTTTCAGTTTTTTGACAGAAACAAGGGCGACACAATGAAGATGAAATGGCTGCTGTGAAGAGCAAGCAGCTTCCCCGACATCGGCGTTGCTCTCGACAAGGTTTTTTTGGAAAGAGACATGCAGTGGCCTCCAGCCTGCTAGTGATGGCCTCCAACCTACTAGCGTTGCCTGGTTGCCTGCAGCCTGCAACCTGATCCAAATAGCGCTGATATGTGTGGGCAGATGGTTGCGTGCGCGGTTCCAAATGCTAGCCCTCCACGTAGCTTTGCAACGGGTGTATAAAGCCATGTGCGTTCAGGCAGAGGAAAGGAAAGACACACAGTCTGATCACAGGAATTCAGAAGGGGTTTCTGTGTGCCACAGCCTCAAGCTCAGTCTGGACTTCGGTCTTTGCATGGACGTGCGACATTTCTTACAGTGAACACTGTGTTTTCGCTTTATTTCAAGACCGTTTTTCAACTTCGATGTTTTAAGACCTTTCGAGGTTTAGATGTTGAACTTGCAGAATTACACAGCCAGAGGTGTGGGGCACAGTATGTCCTGTTCGTAAGGGAGGAGTGCCAAAAACCATCAGCGTCGTGGTGCTGACATGCATCCTGTGAGGCTGTTAGACATTCTACTGCGTGTTGTTGAATGTGAATGTTTCATGAGTTTGTTTATTTGTTTTTTCTTTTCTGGGTGTGTTTGTTCATTGCGCTTCGCGATTGACAAGGCGGTTTCTGACGGTGGGCATGGTGTGTAAACAGGAGCGAGCCGGCGATACCGATTTTGGACGCTGTTTGCGCGAAACAAATAACTTTGTTGCCGACAATGCGAAGTCACAATTTCGGATAGTTGGCTCGTCTTTATACCTGCCTTTGTCTTTGTTGTGTTTAAAGGTCGGAAGCCGCTTGCTTGCCGGCTTCGGAGATCTTTAAAGGTCCGAGAGTGGTTTGAGTGGACAGTTCATTTTGTTGAAACAGGTGGCTTTCCTAAGGGCGCAACATGTTGACGACATTCCATCAAGGCTCAGCCGAGAAATGAGAGCGAGAAACGGGGCCTGAGTTCGACCAAGAGTTTCCAGAATAAGGGCAAACTCGTGCCACCGCACCAGTTTGTCCAAACTCTGAGCAATTTGTCCGGTTGTTATTTTTTTTTGCGGGGAGGGTAGGCCGCTACTAGAGGTAGCTAGGTCGGTAGTAGCTGCATGGTGGCGGAGCTGGGCCGCTTGAACAACCAGGGGCGCGGAGAGTACCTAGTCCGCGATCCTTGGAGCGTGAGCGGTCAGCATGGAGTGGTTGTGTTGGCTGAGACACGTTGGTTGCATTGGCGGTGGGTTGGGCTTCAGACATTGGTTGCATTGACATTGTTCGTTGCAATCATTGTTGGCTTTGATCATTCGGTCATGGCGACTGATGGAGCGCGGGCAGCACCTCCGAGGAGGGTGAGGCGGCGGCATCCTGCAAAGGCCTGCGCGGCAGATATATAGTGTCTGCAGAGCATGGCAGTGCTGAAAGGCCCTCGCTTCTATAGTGCAAAGGGCCTGCGGTAAGTAGACTTGGACCAGACTGTGACAGGCTGGTCTGGCAGGCGTCAGATGACAGTGTCTTCCATATTGACACTGGTGAGCCTATCGCAATGAGCAAAGGCTGCCACCTCCTCTTGCGCCAGTGATGATGGCAATCGGACTCTTTCTAGGCCAGCTGCAAAGAAACACCCGGAGGGGATCGCCTGCCACTGTGGCCGCCAGCGTAGCTCTAGGAGACTGTAGCAGCCTTCAAATAACGAGGGCGGGATGTTGTTCAAATTGGGCGGACGACTGTTGCTATCTACGTGTTGTTTGTCTAAAGATGTTTTATTTGAAACGAGTCGCCTGAGGTTCCCACGGCCCTGAAAAGCTCCTTCTTGCAGGTAAGCAAGCTGCTGTGGCAAGACTATTTGCTTCAAGCAAAAACAGTGTCGAAAGGCGTGGGCCTGGATGCTTTTTAACACTCTCTGGGGGGGTAACTTGCACCCAATTTCGACATGTCTCATGAAGCTTGATTTGAGAACACGCCCTGCGAATCTGGCAGGTGGGATTTCTCCCTGGCACGCTGCTGTGCACACCTGTGCCCCGATATAGGGATTGTTGGGGTAACGGTCCTGGTCTGCTTTCCGGACGGTGTTTGAACCTGCAGTGGCTCACATTCACCCAGTCTGTCCCAATTTTCATGCCTCGATATAGAGTCCATCCTGTGCACGAATGCCCACCTTCACTTCCCCGGCTTGTAGGGCCATTGTAAAGAGGGCGGGGGCTTCGTCGTTGGTCGTGGAATGCCCAGTTGATGATACAAAAAATGGCGTCGTGCCTAGTTGACGATACAAAAATGCTAGTATCAACTGTTGTGGCGTCGCCCCCAGAAGTCTTTTTGGCCTACACCCCCCTCCACACTTAGGTATAGAGCTCAACGGATTGAGCGTTCGATCAGTTAATGACTGACCGGTGCATTAGCTCTTAAGCTACTGCAGTAGACCTTGACTTGCGCAACAAAGCGCGCGAGTTGCTTCCCGGCAGACCGCCTTCACTTCACTTTCCTGCATGGTCCATCAGTTGTGCCAGTCGTTGAGGTGGGTGAAGGACCTGTCGTGATAGAGGAGGACGATCTTGATGATTCGACTGTCATGGATGTTGGATCACTCGATCGAAACAAGGATTTTGAGCTTGTGAGAAGAGAGGTCAGTCTTGATGAGACAGCAGAGCTCATGCTTGACGAAGACGTAGAGGCTCGAAGGATCCTCCTGCAGATAGGGGCGTTGGCAGTGAAGGCAGCCTACAGTCTGGATAGTCCAGTTGGTTGAGCTTTCCTCTCTGCCACGGTTGATGGACTATGCGCAGACGAGGGCGCTCATGGTCCCTCATTGGACTTGACACCCTGTGATGACCAAGACCAAGCGTGGGATGTTAACATTCAGGAGCGGAAGGACAGCGCGTCAGATTTAATTCAGGACCTGAGCCCAGATTTGTTGTTGGGATGTCCCTCATGTCGCGCGTACAGTTTGCTTCAGTATCTCCACCAACACAAGGTTGACCCAGAAGAGTGGGACAGAGCAATGGCAGAAGCAGAGAACCGTCTTGAATTTTGTGTTGAGCCATATGAAGCCCAGATGCAGAGTGGTTCCTTCCGAGCTGGCTGATCAGGCTGTGATGGAGCTTCAGGCGGTGGATAAAGTTCCTCACCGTCTTCATGGCGAACAGCCTGTTGAACCACATCCCTTGGCTGGGGCCTTTGGACCTGATGCTCGGAAATCTGGGCCAGCGTTGGCTCGTTGCCACGCTGGGGGAGGATTTCTTGGTTTTTGCGCTTATTTGATTGCTGATGCCACCAATCATGGGCAGCAGAACGGGGGCCAGGAGGTGGTGAACTTCCAGGCTATAGGAGTTGGTTCAATGATCCAATCTCATGCTCTTGGGATCAAGTTGCAGCATGGCATCAAAGTGAAGTGGATCAACGCTGGGCACTGAAACAGCTCTGGGCTCATGGACTTCTGGAGTCGATTGCAACTTGCCTGCCGCAGTTCTTCAAACCTACACGGTTTTCTCTCCAGCAGGTCAAACGTGATTTGGCGCTGTGGAATGAATACACTTCAATGCATGAGTCCACAAGAGCCATCAAGCCCACTACTGAAAAATCTTCAATGAGGCTGATCCACCCTATCCTTCAATGGAATTGGCGCCTGCTTTGCTAGTTCCTACAGTGAAAAGTCCTCGCGGCAAACTAAGGGCAAGGGCAAGAGTGGTCATTTGCAGCAACCGCCTCGCCGAGGTCAATGATGATGAAGGTGATTCCAAGAAGTCGCCATCCAAAGAGGAAGACTCAATCTATTCCTTGTATGCTGGCGTGGCCGATGCAACTTCATTGAGACGCATGCTTCTGTTGGCAGCTCTCTACAACAGTGGAGTGTGGGGACTGGTGATGTAAAAACAGCGGTCTTGCTTGCTCCGCGGCCAGATGAACAAGAACGTCTTTTGGTGGCTCGTCCGCCGAGAATCCTCGTTGACGCAGGGATTTGCAAAGAGTCAGAGCTCTGGGAAATTTCTCACGCGGTCTACGGCTTGAATGATGCCCCAGCCAACTGGTCCGCCGTTCGAGATAGTGAGCTTCCCAAGCTGCGCTTCCATGAAAATGAAATGGAATAGAGAGTGCTTCGCACAGCTGTACCCATCTTGTGGAAGGTGATGCACTCTGACTGCGCCTGTCCATGACTCAAGAGACAGCTGCCTGCGGGTTTTTGGCCGTCTACGTCGACGCCGTGCTCATTGCTCCTGACAACTTGGCAAAGGCAGTGGTTCCGCAGGGGATTCGTTCACACTGGCGATGCTCTGAGGCAGAGTGGGCTTCAAGCGGTGACTTGGTGAGCAGGTATGAAGACTTGAAGGAGAGATCAACTCCTATGCTTGCGACTTCATCTGATGATCCAGCACCTCAGGTGAAGATTCAAGATGTTCGACGTGCTCAAAGCCTGGTCGGTGAGCCTGTATGGCTCTCGTCGAGAACGAGGCCAGATCTTTCTTTCGGTGTGTCCATCATGGGCTGCTTGCTGACCAAATGTCCGTGGAAAGCACTGGAGTGGGGTTGGCGTATGCTGGGCTATGCGCCAGCGACTTCGGGCTATGAGCTCCTGTACCACACCAGCTGCAGGAAGACCTGAAGAGTGGGAAACCAGACTCCATGTTCTGTCAGACGCTTCTCATGCCCCTATAGAATGGTGATTGAGGACATCAGGGTCTGATTATCCTGTACAACGATGCACCCGTGCAGTGGGAAAGCAAGCAGCAGGCTTTTGCCACGCTGTCGATTTCATATGTTGATGGGGTGGTGATGGGTGAATCGGTGGCCGTCGCCACGTCTTGGAGGATGGAGGTCTTCATGACTGTGGGGAACAGGTCTTATGACTGGCCTTAGAATTCTTCAAGCTCCAGATGGCCCATGGAGAACCAGGCGTCTTCGCCTCAGATCCTTTGTCACCAGGGAGAGGATCCAGCTGAGGTGTTGGACAACTCGTCATACTCCTGGTGCTGGACTCGTGGCTGATCTTTTGACGACGTCGATTAGCAGCTTGAATCCATGGGACGCATTCTTCAAGCTCTTCGGCGTCACCGTGAATCAAGAGCGCCTTGCGTTGAGCTCGCAATCAGTCCCTGCAGCAGAGAGCTCGCAATCAGTGCATGTGGCGAATTGAGCTAGCAGCGGCTTTGGGTTGTGTCAGTATGGCTGGTTGTTCACCTGCTGGGGCGACCCTGAGGCCTGCTGTAGTGAAGTGCTTGGGGCTCATTGCGTCCGTGGTGAGCTTTGTTATAGGGAGTTTCGGAACATCAAGAAAACAAAAGGAAGATCAAATTTTCGGAAGGGTGTGTGCACCTCCGAGCCATCGCATCTCATCCAAAAGAAGGGGACTTCAAGATCTCGGAAGGGAACATGAACCTCCTTGCAATCAGAGATCATTTTCATGTCATTTACCTATCGCCTAAATGGCTATAGTTTTCCGGACGCGGGGAGCGCGTGCATGGCCAATGGCGGGGCGTTCTGTGTGGTGGCGCTTCGCTTTCCATCCGGAGAGGAGCCTTGGGAACTGGAGCGCAGCCATCTACCTCCACGGGGAGCTGATCGATGCAGGAACGAAAGCGACCATTTCGTCCAGTTCATCGGTGCATGTGGGAGCAGCGTCGGCGCAGCGAGGTTGATGACTGGCGCAGTGGAACCCAGCCGTTCTTGGCAAGCAACCAGCCGGCGTTGGCTCAAGGAAAAGCGCCGCACTCCTGGTTTTCGCTGTCTCGGCTCATCCATTGCTCAGTATCAAAGGGAACCTTCGATGTTGCTTGAGCTCTTATATTTGCTGATGAGCTCGAAGTGTCCACATGATGGACACGAAAACACAGCATGTTTTTCTATCACGTCTAAGGATAGTATGCGTCATGTTGCTGTCGCGTTTGCAGTTGTCGACATTTTTGAATGCGTCAAACCATGTCAAGCTCTTCCCTCGACAGGTTGTTGTCTCGATTCCTGGTGCCTGGCCGCGACAGATTTGTATCCCGCTTTGCAGATCGCGCCAGAGACTCTGGTGGTGAGGAGCGAACATCGACAACTACAAGATAAAGTAATGTTGGATCCTGATTAGTAAAGGGGGGCCCCTCCCCCCGTCCCTCTAACAAAACCTCTAACAAAATGGGAGGGCTTCTATAAAAAACTACAACCAAAAGAAATCTTGGTTCCTGGGGGGATTCCTTTTGTAAGCCTTTGTGGTATTCATTTTCCTTTCTCAGGCTAGCTACACATAAAGGATTGATAAAGGAATTGGTGGCTTTGGGAAACTGTGAGTTTGGAAGAACTTGAGAACCTATACTTATCAATACTCTTGGCAAGCCAGCCAATGGCTTCGTAGTTTTAAGAATTTCTAAGAATTCCTTTGTTTTTGTGAATGGAAAAACGCACGACCCAAAGCATACCTTTTCATGAAGGTCATGAACACCTGAGAAAGGTGAACCGGTCAATACGACCTGCGTTTGGCTCAAGGAACAACGTGAGCGGCTGTTTTTTCGGTCGGTCGCTCTTGAGGCTTTTTCCATAACCACAGGTTATGAGCCCAAGGAGCTTTTGAAGTCCACCCTCATTTGAGGTCGCTGGTCCCCATGAGCGGCTTGATGGCGCGGCGGCGGCGCTCCTCCCGCGAAGGAGGCAGGCTGAGGGATCCAGGAGATCAAGGAGGGCAACTACGTGTGGGAGCAGCTGACGAGAGGCTAGACACCCTCCTCGAGGAGGCAAGGGCAACCTCAATGCCACCTGCTATGAAGAGAGTTGGAGGGGCTCCAGCGGCTGTCGAGGCGAGAAGATCTTCGACGGCGGCAAGCGGAGCTGATGGAAGACAACAAGCTCCAGCGTCTGAGCGGCATGACCGAGGAGCTGGCTGGCAGGAGACGGTGAGGCAATCCCTTGAGGTGTTGCAAAGGGCCTTTGGACCAACTTCCCAAGGACCGATGCCGGTGGGACCTCCGCCTCCTGACAGACTTCTTGGACCTCTTTTTCATGGCCGCGATCCAGGACACCCTCGCGCAGATGATCCGGGACAACCTGGAGGGCAAGGGGCTTGGCAGCGGGAGGCAGCGTCATCGCCTCAGTTTCCAATTCCACCGAGAGCGGACAGGAGCAGCATGACTGGTGAAGGTGGTCCACAACCTAGAGTACTTGAGCCCTACGACATGTCCACACCCCATCAACATGGGCGGCAGCAGACCAATCCCTTTTGGAGTGACCGTGGACGTGCGCCTGATGTGGCATCCCGTTCTGAACGTCCTCGACCCCCTAGTGAAGAGGTGAAGAGAAGTCCGACGTCTCAGGAGCTGGAAGCCATCCGGGAGCGCATCCTTCGTGAAGCCCACTTGAACTTTGAGAAGGAGGTCAAGAAGCTGACAGGTGGTGGAGGTTCGTCGACGTTTGAATCGGCGAATAGTGTGGGCGAGCGGGCGAAACTTCGTGGTTCCACTGACGCTCTGATCGCAGACCAGCACATCAGCGCTACGAGGACACGATCAAGGGCCTCGCGGAGATCCGCCACAAGCGCGCAGTGGCAATTGCGGAGTTGGTCGCAAGGCCGCTGAAGCGGAAAGAAGTGATTGCAGAACAGCCCGCGCTGCACCGATCACTGAAGCGGATCTGGCCGTCATCGACGACGAGCCCACTGATGAACCTGACCTGTCGGATATCTTCGTGGCAAACGATGCAACCGCAGAGAAGATCTTTGAGCGGCGGAAACAAATCATCGAAGAAGAGCAGGAGCGCATTGCAGAGGAGCTCAACATCAGTCGAGACACCTATGAGGGAAGATTGGAAGTTCTCGAAGAGCTCACTCATCGTGTCAGCAGCGGCCAAACTCCTGCAACTTGGCTTGACATTGAGGAAGAGGAGCAGGATGTGCAATCAGCTGAAGAGCAGCCCGATGAGATCGACGAAGACGAGATCGAAGATGATGATGCGGCTGAAGCTGATGAGGGGGAGACGGCCACCGTCACTGGTGAGCCCGAGCCTGAAGCACCATCCTCAGCTCCAGTGCCATCACGATCAAACATGGTGGACGTGATGGACAGCTTCCCTGTCTCCGCGCAGTACCTGGAAGACCAGTACAGGGAGTATGAGTACTGCACCGTTGAGGTCAACGGCTCACTCCAGCAGGCTGTGAGAATCGGAGAACAGGAGATCCCTCTCGAATTTTCAAGCGGTTGGGATTTGAATGGCTACCACTTGTTCTTCTCAAAGCAGATGAAGGACCACTTGACCCAGTTGTCCAAAGTGGTACGCCAGCACGCGCGACCTGTACCTTGGCTTGAAGGTAGATGAGGAGGGCTTCGCCGGCATTGACGAAGCCGCTCGCTGTTGAACAGCAAGTGGGCTCCAGACTTCACCGTAAAGGACATCATTGCTATCGCCTCCAAAGACAACAAAAACAGGATTGAATTCCTGGGGATCAGGGAGGGAAGCAAGAAGGATGCCAAAGGAGTGAAGCTATGGCCCTTCAAGATGAGAGCGGCAGCAGGCGAGAGCAAGCGCGCCATTAGCAAAGCTGAAGATGCATATCGCGCCGCAGAGACCATCTATTGCAGCTCATCTCTAAAGCCTGAAGCCAAGGCTCCCTTCGCCAGGAAGCCCCATTCCTGGCGGTGGAAACTTTGTCGGATCCGACCGCGCCCACATCTACATGTCGGCCAATCGCATCTCAGATGTTGGCTATCAAAGTGGGCTATACGGGGCAAATATCCAGCGCAGATCACTGTGGCCACCAAAGAGGCAGTGGAGGACGGCTTGATCTTTTTCAAGAAGCGGGCGCGGAAACTCCAGCCCGGAGTCAGCTTTCAGGCCAGGAATCGCCGCCGGCGCGCTGAGAAATGCGGCTTCCACAGCATTGAGCTCCAGATGGGCCACGACTTCCGTGGTGCTCAGCGGCAAGACTTTCTATGCCATTACCACTTGGCGACCCCTCCTCGCAGCAGGGCCCAACTCAACCTCCATCTTGACTACGACGATGACCATACCTTGGCGCGACTGGCCTGCGTCGATGTAGTGCCCGAGCAGTTCCCGGAAGCCATGGACTACATCGTGGAGCAGTGGTGCGTCTTCTATCGTGCCAATGTTCTTTCTTTGCGGGAGTACGCTGAGTATGTGAAGACTCCCATGGCCCAAGGCCCATCGCAACTTGCTGGCGTGGGATGGCGTTCACGCCATCAACGTGGACCAGCCACCGCATCTGCCAAGCCAGTCATCAAGCTGCCCGCAACGATGGGATTAGCAAGCTTGGACAAGGGCAACGGCAGCAACAGGCGAAAGGCAAGCGCAAGTCCGCGACCGATGAAGGTGCTCCAGCTTCGAAAGCAAAGCGAGCTCAGCCACCGTCATCGGTGAGCCAAACGGCATCAGCCTCATCTTCTGCTTGGGGATGGCGCTCTCGTGATTGGAGCGAAGGGTGGAGCCAATGGGGCGAGCAGCGGCAGTGGAGCCGCAGCGCTTGGGACTGGAGCTCGAGTCAGAGCTGGGGGCGATGGAGCTAGTTGAGCCAAGTTTTAACGTCTTTAGCGAGCATAAGTCAATAGCTTTTGCATGATATCCTGTGTAAATATGTATTGCGGTTTTCCTCCCAAGTCCAAACTTTCAAGCTGTCTTTTGGCGGCGGGGAGTGAATAACTAAAAATCACTTCGAGGGCCACGAAAGGCATAGGGTTGCTAGCGCCCGACTATGCCACTGCACAGCCTGCTTCATCGCAGTGCCCTGCACCAGCCCTAGTGCACTTTCCGCGTCCAGCTTCGGTATCAATGATACCTCAGCTGAAGGGGGTGTATTTTCACCCCAGGTAATATGTACACTTTGCCATGCACTGTATATAGGATATCATGTACGCTTACCTTGTAGCTCGCGGCCCAAAACAGGAGCGGTAGCTTAACGGCTGTTTTTATTATGTCACACTGTGGGTCGGCTTCGGAACATTGGCGCCGCAAGCTCCGTTGCACATGCCGCCGCAAGACCGCAATTCAATTGCAGTTTGCCCTCGCAGCAGCTGCTATGAAATCATGATGCGCGTTTACTTTCCAAAGCTCAGGACTGCCTCCAGCAACCACGGACACCAACAGGAAGCGAGACACCAGACGCAAGAACTGTCGCAACTCACGGCAAGTTAGGACGGCGAAATCACGTTGGTGCGTGAACTGCCTCGCTGGGGCAGATGTCATGAATGGACTCCTACTGCATTACCACTTCCGGATGGCAAGGCCTTCTCGTTTGACCTCCAAAAGTTGACAGTGCAACAGGTGTTTGATTGAAGAACAGTTGCAGCTAGTTTGAGGCAGGTCATGCTTTTGGGTGCTGAGCTGCCAGTAAAATGTAGTAAGAGGCTGATGCCTGGCAAAGTCATTTTCCCGTCTCCCTTCCTGTAGCGTCGCGCCATGTCTTATCAGGCTATTCATTTCAACCTACTCTAGTGGTAGGTTTTCCAGTAAAATGTGCATATAATAAGGAAAAACTTTAAATCGGCCCTTCCTGTCTTGAATAAATAGTTGAAACGCGTGTGTCGCTTTAACTGCATGTAAAACTTCAGGAGGCGGCCACAGATTGGATGATTGCAAAGCCGTTAAAGCAGGCAAAACGCCGGAGACAAACTAAAGTCAGTTTTCAGCGGAAACAGTCGGGGATTGAAATGTAAGTTGCCCAGGAGGTTGCAAATAAGACTGAAAGGCTACAAAATTCAATAAGCTGTGCGCGCAATCCCAGATTTCTAAAACAAGTCGAAAGCAAGTGACGATGCATGGTTCATCGCCAAAATTCGTGGGTGAACGTCGTAAGCACCCAACATTGGATTGAATCAAGTGAAGTTGAAACTGTGACCCAACAAGTCGGTGCAACACACATGCGGTTTGACATCCGTACCTGCTTGTATTTCACGATTCGTTTGCAAAACCGACGCAACTCTCAGTAGGTTTGTGGGTTCAAAAGAACCAAGCAGTTCAAACAAACCTACAAAGGCAAACGTTTTATTTGTGGGTAAATGTGGATGGCCAAACCCAAACACAAAAGGATGCAAATCCCACCGCAAAAAGGGAAACCAACCAAGGCTGCCATGGCTCTTGCCACCGCTTCTGGTCCGTCCATTTGCCTCCAAACGCTGCTTCACCACAGCTCATCAGGATGCAGCATGCGTTGTGAAGGCTCATAGACGCCCATGCCAGCCAAGCCATAGTCATACTCTTCCACAGTGCTTTTCCATAGTTCTCTTCTTCTTTCTGCCACTCGGTTTGCTTCCTCATCTACCTCCTTCCTCAATGCCTGATGGAGAGCCCGCTTCTCTTCCTTTGTCATATTCGGGAGTGCTGCCATGACCTCTCGTCCTCGTAGTTGGACATGACCTGGTGGGGCATGAGCTTTTGCCTTGGCTTTTGCTTTGGATGCTGCTCCCATCTCGGTCACGCGATGCTTCGGAAGTGTGAACTGGACTTCATGGTTACCATCTACCACATCCCATTCATCTTCTCTCTTCTTCGTCTCCGCATCTGTCATCCGAGCATCAAATGGGAGTGAACAGCCCATTGTCTCTCAGTGCCGCCAACCATGAAGGTAAAATGCACATTGGACGCCTTCTTGTGGGGAGTGTCTCGTCCATTGATGACATTGATGCATTCCAGATCTCCCTTCCAGTGCCCTTGCTCTTGCTTGCCACATGAAGAGCATGTGGTAGCCTTCTTTCTTGCACAGAGCATGTGGTGGTCTTTCTCCCTTCTTGTCCTTCTTTGTGGGCTTCCACCCTCGGTTCTTATGCTCTGCCACCCTTTTTCTTGGCCTTCCAGCCTGCAGCGAATGCCTCCTTCAGCTCGCCTTCTTCCAGTTCCCCCTCACTGGTCTCATTGTCTTCTTCATCTCCATCTTCTTCGCCTCCTAGCTCATCTCCTGGCTGTTCTTCCATCTCCTGATCTTCAAGATCTTCTTCTTCTTCCGGCTCATCTTGCTCGGCAATGTGAGTGCCGTGGATGCACTTCTTGATGAAGATCTTTTTCTTGAACGCGGTGCTCCGGTGCTGATCTTCGTCCTTCTCACGATCTCGTGTTGTCCTTGTTGACCTCCTCTCATCTTCGTGGACTTTGCACCGAATCCTCAAAATGGTGGGGTCATAGCAAGCACAGACGATCATGCTTTGTGCAACAGCTTCTGGCCCCATGCTGTCACAACTTCGTGTCGGGGCCCACCCTGCTGTACTGACCTGGTGCCCTTCGATATCTCTCCATCTCCTTGCCCACTCTCTCGAAGAGCTCGGCTTCCGTCTCGCCAAAGGCCTCGTCAAGCACCTTCCAGAGTAGGTGGAGCCCGCCATGTCCAGTGTAGGATGTCACTGGATTCTGCTCAACCACATCCCGGGCTTCCTTCCTTGTGCTGAGGTAGATGAGCATGGCCAATTCCTGAGATTCCAAGCCATAAAGGCATTGCTGGGCCTGGATTGCCTTCTTCCACTTCAGGTATATTGCCCTGTCTCCACAAATTTTTTTTCACTTTCACTGAACCCAGTGCAGGGAGCTCTTGTGTCTAAAGCCATCCCCATCTCTCTTCAAACGTTGCCCTCAACGAACGGATCTCGGACGTGGAGGCTGAAGAACTGGCACCATCTTCATCTGGGGGAGGTCGTTCCCCACCTGGTGCTGCTGTTTTTTCTTTCTTTTCTTTACCAACTGCCGGCTCCAGAAGTTGGGGTGGTGCATGGCGGTTTCACAGTATAGGGTGGCACCTGGGTGGCCACGGCGGCATTGGTGCCCATTGAGTCGGTCCTCCCATGGATCCACATGCAACATGTCCGCTGTGGCTGAGACGGTGTCGTTTGTTCACGGAAGCGGCATGATCGATGTCGGTGCCATGGTTGACTGGTTGAGGGAAGGTCTTCAGTCACTTGTCCCTGTCAACAGCCCTCCGCCATGGATCTCTGCGGTGCCAAGGATCAGCCTGCCCATCCGCAGGCAACTGTGTTGCCGCTTGGGCTGCCGCCATGGAATGCTGCTCTTCGCTAGCAGCCATGGATGCAAAGCAGTGCAGTGAGGCAGCCTAGTGAATTTTGGGGACCGCTAGACTGCCCTCAAAGCTACCAATGTGAGTAAATGTGGGTGGCCAAACCCAAACACAAAAGGATGCGAATCCCACTGCAAAAAGGGAAACCAACCAAGGCCAAAAGCAAAGCAAAGCAATGGCTGCTGCAGATGCTGTTTCTGCGCTGGCGATCATTCGAATGTTTGCGGGAAAATGCCACAAACTGCACAAGTGAAAAGTGCAAGGAACACACAGCAAGCAAGTCTATGCATTCACATTGTTCACTTGCGTCATTTGCACAGGTGAGCACTTGCGTTGGGAAAATCAACCTCCTGTTCAATTCATTTGGCGTCAACCGCCTCAATGTCGACTGTGACGCGCGAAGATCCACAATACTCAGTTGTCAACAACTGGGCATGGGACCATAGGACATCCTCTCACATACCGACGGTTAACAAGTAGGTTCCGACATGCAGAGCTATACGTATTCAAAAGTTAGATTTCTGTGACGCGCAGATGGCGCAGTAGATGCGGCGTGTAGAGTAGACGGACTTGACTTGATTACTTCCTGGGAACATACTAGTAGTAACAAGAAGCTATTAGGAACAAGTGCATCGCTTCTAGGAACAAGTGCCTTACTAGTAGTAACAAGAAGCTAT